TCGAAAACTGAATTTATATTCATAATGTTAAAAAGCCTGTCGCTCGGTGATCCACGATCGTAGAAACTTGGCCAGCATCTCATTTTATGAAGAATTGAAGGAGCTATCCAATGATATGGTTGAAAAGCTTCTGAGAGAAACAGAATTCGACGCTGATTCCGAATATGTATGACTCATTGCGTAATTTTTTGGGCACGAAACCTTACATTCTGCCACTTGTCCTTTAAATGACTTTTTAAAGACATCTATGTATAGTATTGAGCTATATTATGTAACAAGAATCGACAAAACAGATTGGTGATTTTGCCGTTAACGAATCTTGCCACTTGAAACAAAAATCTTTAACGATAAAAGATCAAAAATCAATAAAACATGGAGAGGTTTCCTCCTTAGTGACCTTATGCATTTATCGGATGGCCCAGAATAAACGGATCAGTTTTGTTCTTTGTTTTCCAGGCACTTCCCGGTGGTCCAAAGAGTTGGTTCTAGGCTCATTCGCTAGAGAATGGAATTCTCTACAAACCTGCTATTTATATCTCTGATAACATTTTTCTCGTTCGAGCACCTATTAAATGATGCTCAGTTGTCGAATTGCGACAGACTGAAAACAGAAAAATATTTGCCTTGATCCAAAAATAGATTCCATAAGAATTTCGAAAATATCAGAAGACTCACCAGAAAATTCTGCATCTGCTCAGATATTTTTCGAAATTTTGCAGTTAAGTCTTCTAGAAAAATTTCTCTTTGCAAAAAACTGATAAATCTAAAAAAACCTAGCTTTTGAGCCTATTTTTCACAAACTTTAGTTTTTTAACTATAAAAGCAGTAAAACGTTCTGAATCCAAAATGTTCGTCTTACTATCGTATACAGAATTAAATTCTGCACCTTTTGATATATAAACAGAGTTTCTCAATTGATTAAATTAATTAATAAAGTTAATTTTTGAAAAAATTGAAAAAAGCCAGTTGAAAACTAATTATTAGTCCAGCTAATGTAGCGGAAACATTGTCTGAAGTTATGAATGACTGAGATCGATAGAGCGTCAAATTTTCTATTGAAAAATTAACTGTTGAATCTCAAACAACGGGCTAAAAATCTCAAAAATGGAGACGACAAAAGCACGTCGTAGTTTGACAACTGAGCACCATTCAATATTTTGAATAGTGCTCAAACGAGAAAAATGCTATCACAGATTTAAATAGCAGGTTTGTTGAGAATTCAATTCTCTATCGAATGAGCCTAGAATCAACTCTTCGGACCCCTGGGAAGCGCCTTAATAACAAAGAACCAAAGTGATCCGTTTATTCTGGACCATCCGTTACTCAAACTTTGTTTGTTTGGGCCCTGATTAATAAGATTGCCTACTTTGTACATGATTAATTCCGTTCATTCTTTCTTAGATGATTATGAATCGATGGTTTTATTTGGAAAAATAATAGCTCCGTTCCATATACTAAAAAGAAATGTTCAGCAATATTTGTTTTCTTTCTATTCTTGTGAAGGAGACAAACAAATTGGTAAACGACAATCTCACGGTAATTGCAAATCATCGACAAGTCATATATTTAAAAGAATATTACCATCGACAGTTGTTCAAATCGAGAATTTAGTCAGAACACAACCCGGTTCCACAGCGTACACATCTCTTGTTGAAAATGCAACAAAAGAACTACCAAGAAACGTTAATCAAGTCAAATATGTACGAAAAAAATTTCTTCAACAAAAACGTCTTACTTCAGATGGACTCTCGAATCTCTACTTGTTATCTTTGGAAATGGATAATTACGTTCGTGAAATGTCATTACAACCCCACCTTACCATTGTACTGATGCACGAACAAGCCAAAAACAATTTTCAACAATTATTGTCAATAACTAAAACCCCTGTTACTTCATATTACGATACCACTTTTCAGTGAGGGGATTTTTATGTCTCAGTAAGTTACTCCAAACTCGCAAACTAGAAACAGACACTAACTTTGTTTTCATTTTTATTATTTTAGATATTAACCTATGTGCATCATAGTTTTGTTGAAAATCCAGTCATACCGTTGGCAATATTAATCCATGATCATAAAAACAGAGAACCACATGATAAATTAACCAATATTTTAAAAGTCCATCAATCGATAGAAAAAAAAGTGTATTCTTATTAGCGATGGTGAATTATCATTTAAAAATTCATTTCATGATGCATTTCCAGTTATGAAACATTTAAGATGCCACAATCATTATGCAAACGACCTCAAAAGATGATTAAAAGAAGATTTTAACAAACAGTATCGTTCAATTAGTAAACGTTCAAAACGATCAAAAACAATATCCGTTAATGAAAACAAACACGATGATGGAAACGAAGATAATGACAACGAAGATGAAAATAACAATGAAGTGAATATTCAACAAACAACATTAACTGCAAATATATCGGAAAATGAATTATATAAACAAATGAAAGAACAACATGTCACACAACACATGGATGATGTTCTCAATTTATTACGAAGTCAATCGAAGCAACTATTCTTAATCGATTATGAACAAATGAAAAAACGGTAGTGTCCAAGATTTAAGAAATATTTTGAAACGTGGCATTTACCACATATTGATGAATTGTGTGAACCTGTTCGCACTTTGCCTCTTCAGCACTAGTCTTCTTGAGGAGAGTTCTTTATCCGAATAATATTTTAACGGGTTTTCTCACCGCTTCATTTCTTGATTTGGGTTTGGATTGGTCGCAGTTATGAAGTGTTTGATGAGATATCCGGTGTAACATCAAACCCAATAGAAAGTATCAATGCAGTTGTAAACAAGTGGGTATCGTGGGAACATCAGTCAGTCGATATTTTTGTTCAAATGATGTATCTGTACACTGTTAGAAATCTGTGTTCTTCCGTTCTTTGGAGAACATGGTGAAGAACACGAATGTGTTCTTTGAAAACTGAAGAACAGAATATATGTTCTTCAGCCTATTTTCACGTTTTTGTTCTTCAGTAGGGTTTTTGTTCTCCAAAAAATTAGTTCTTCATTTTTATAAAGAACAAAAAACGAATTCGAGTTCTTCAGAGAATATAATTTTTGTTTCCCAGCTTTCTGAAGAACATAAATCATATTTTTGTTCTTCAGAGAACAAGAATCCACAGTCCATTAAATAGTTATTCATGAAAATGTGTATGTCGGCGCAAATTGAGGAGAGGCGATGATTGCGATCAAATGGTAATAACGACCACCTTTTATACTGTCAAACTGAAAGAAAATATATCAGTAACTGATAGTGGTATGTACATCATATCGTCGATAGGTTGTAATGAAACACACAAATCTTACTTTATCATCTTAGATCCGATTGCATTTCGAGCGCTTAGCATTATATTAGCATATTTTAAAGAAAGTAAACAATATATTATCGTGGACACGAAAGTAAGCGACCGATTCCAATATTGTTTTCCTCTAAAGGACTTAGGGAAAGCTTTTTGAAAGGAGAGAATAGTCTAGAAGAAATCAATAACCCTTCTATTTTGAGCAAGAGCTTTTATTCTTTAGCATAGACTGTCAAAAAGACTTCAGCCGTAGAAAATCCAGCAGTTCTAGAGCCTTCAGTTCATGCTCCAGCTTAGACAATGCGTGATGCATGGTTTTCTGGAAACTCACTTGCTATTAAGAAGAGGCAGTCGAGAAAGTCGAGAATAATGAATGTTGTCCTTTCTGTACTAATCCTAAAAAGAAATATAAATAACTATTGTTTGTTTACCGTTATGCGGTCTAGTTCTTAAAACGAGTGGACTAGTTCGAATTTTCTTACAGCACTAAAAAATCACCTTGCACACACACCTTGCATGTAGTGAAATAATCCATGCACTATTTTTAATTTTTACATTAAGAATCCAAAAGATCTAAGAAGTCCTTGGCCGTCTATACTAGTATGTCATGATTCCGTTACTTATTTCAAAATTGGTTTAGATTCAAATCATCTTATTAGAACAGCTAATTCATTGGAAGCAGTAGTGATATGGGCAGGTCTATTTCATTTGTTCAATATTGATTTTTATCAAGGGACAAAAAAAACTAATGAATTCTTTGATTTTCTTTTATTCAAAAAGTTCGCGGTTAGTGGTGAAAGCGCTGTTCGAACGTTAATTAAAAAATTACAGTTAGCTTGAGAACATAGGAGGAGATTTTTAAGACATTCATGAGATTTTTCTTCTTTCGTGTGTGTTATCTATCAACCATTATTCTTAATTCTGCATGTTTGTCCGTCTGCCACTTATGGCGTTTGTGATTTCTACCTTTTTTGTTCTCTTCTCAACCATGTAGTTTAGTTGAGTTGCGGCTGATTACTTCATTGAAGATTACATTTTCTATGTAGTACTAGTTAGCTTGCCGTTAGTGACTCTCAGGATGTAGTGATGATCAGTTCGATTCTGTTTGACGCACGGAGGATTGGGGCTCAGCCATTCCGCCTCATTCACAGAATATTAGAGTGGCTCTAATAACGAACTGATCCTAGCGATAATATCTGCGAATATACATTCTCTGAGAGTCCAAGCGTGAATGTTTTCTTCACATATGGCAAACGTTACCTTACGGTAAAACTCACAGGCGAACTATAAAACATTAACCGCTCTCACTTTTATTCTAAGATCAAATGCAAGTTATATGGCAAACCATAATTGAGAAATACATGAGAAAAAACTGTTAATGTGATTCTTATGACAAGTAGAAAGAATTTAGACAAAGAGAGAGCGTGTTAATGGAACTACTGTGTACAAGTTTTGATTCCAACTTGAAAGTGAGTCTGAGATGAATGACCGACCCTGACTGCATTATGTTCCCAACGAGAAAACCGGATAAAACACAGTGAAATCAAAAAAGGAAAGTTTCGCTGGAGCGAAAAATGGATGTAATAATTGGCTGACCCCTACCCACCCCTCTATGGTTTACGTAATAGTCGAACAACCCCTTTCAGATAGAGATTATAGCAAGATAAAAGCATTGTCTGCTCGACGAACGCATTAAAATTTGACTGCACTATGTTCTCGAAGAAAAGTCCGAGTAAAACATAGTGCAATCGTAGATAATAAAACGGTGACTGGAAAAATGTGGAACTAGTACCGGTGCAGCACAGCATGTCGTGCACACTAGTGGTGCCGGCCTTTTCTTAGTACTGTACCGGGTTTTTTTCTTCAGGAAAGTCGATCATGTTTTCAATAAGAATCTTATAAGAATAACGTACGAGTTTTGCTGACTCCTACCAATTTTAGAATTCTTGTAAGATTCTTACGAGATTCAGCAGAATTCTTGTCACTTTCACCGAAGATCTTATATAAGAATTGAGTAAAATTCTTATGAGATGCTTGTAAGATTCTTACAATGCATGGATCAGAATCCATGGATAGACTGTATTATTTTTAGTAGTATACTAGAGCGGCCAATTCTTTCACCTTCGTTAGAAAAATTCTACTTTTTGAAACTTTTTCTACTTTTGTGTACTTTTCGAGAATTTGTCTGTCTCTGGTATTTTCCTTGAAACTGAAAAATCCTTGCATGAAGCATCCTCTTGCATTGAAGCATCCTCTACTTCAGTTCGAAGGTCTCTTGATAAAGCTTACTGGAGTTTCAATTTCCAAAAGAAATGGAAATCAGACAATAAACAAGGGTACTACTAAAACGCGTAATTGTCAGGCTGCATTAAGGGGGCGGCCCCCCATTTAGATTTTCACCCAACGTTCCCGGTTTGTAGAGGATACTTCGAAGTATATGTCCTGAAGTTTTCTTGGCTTACTGACATTATTTGGCTGAGAAAAAATTAATTACTTTAAAAAATATTGTTTTTATATAATAAAGTTTTTGAACAAGGGACTATTATTAGCAGAATTCCTGTCCATTCTCCATTCATCATAAAAACTTGATTCTTGTCTAGATCGATAGAGACATGTGTGGAGAATATTTACTACGAGAAAATATGTAAACATTTTGTTCTTTCCTTCATGTTATTAACTAATTAGCACTAATTAAGGTTAATTCAGCCTACTCTACTACCTTACAGTCCCATTTGCAAACTCAACAAAAGAATTTAAGCTATACCTCACCTGACAGAGAATTTCACGAGCTACAAGACTGGCTAGCTAAGAGTTTTAGAATCCAATTCATTCATTAGAATTTTTTTATAACAGTCCCGTGGTCAAAAATTTAACAATATTTTTTTAAGTAATTAATTTTTTTCTCAGCCAACCAAGGTCAGTATGCCGAAAAAGCTTCAGAACATATACTTCGAAGTGTCCTCTACAAACCGGGAAAATTTAACAAAACAATTCAAAACTACAGAATTTCTCTAAATTTTAGCTAAGCGAAAATATTTTCATAACATCTAGCTTCGATAAATCCAATATTTGTTTTTCCAGTAGCTGATTCATATAATATGCACGAATCATCAGTTTTTAATTTTTTACAATATTCTATTGATCTAAATTGTGTTGATGATGAATATGCACATTGTTTAACTGAAAATCTTGTTGAATTAATATAAGTTTGAATAATATTTGTAATTTTATCATTATTGATTTCCAGTGACCTTTTTGGAACTAAATATGTTCGTCCTTGAGTTGTTGTTACTTTGTCAAATGTTTGTGGTGCTTCACATTGGTGTTTAAATAAATTTAATACAAAATCATAAAGTTGTTTAGGATAATATTTTAAACGAACTAAACGTAACGAAATTTTAAATAATTTTAAATGAGTTATTATTTGTTGTACATGTCCATTTGTACCGTGTGTTAAACGATTTAATATTCCTAATATATTTTCATAATTAAATGTAGTATAATGTGGCATTGTTCCATTTTGTTTAACACAATTACTAATGCTAAAACAATTGTAACCTTTCGATATTCTGACTGTTTTTAAAGTCTTTTTTACTTTCTTACTCTATTTCTTTGTATGTTTTTTGCTATTTATTTATTATACAATTAATAATAAAAGTGCATAACATATGTAGAACAAATCTAAAATTGTATCAAAAGCGGCTATCTTGAAACAAATTCGGGTGTTTCAAGCGGTTTTTTAGATGAATACTACCCATACAGAAAAAATCGAAGAAAAAACCGCCTAAAAAAGCGTTTTTTTTTATGCGGTTTTGTGGCAAAGCGGTTATTTTGAAACAAATTCGGGTGACTACAACGGTTTTTAACATAGCCATTTAGCCGCTTTGACCGCTTTTTTAGGCAGTTTTTTCTTCGATTTTTTCTGTATGGGATATCTATTGTATTCACATGAGAGATCCGAAGCGTCTATTTAAATGTTCATGACCAAATATGCAACAATCATGTTCACATGTGAGTATGCTGTTTCCTTATCGTGTATCACGTCACTTTTTGTGAATCTTTAGATTATAGCGGTGAGAGTGGCATTAGGTGCGTATGTAAATGAAAAACCGACAAAAGTTAATATGGAACAAGAAAGAAAACGAAAGAATAAAGAAGATAAAATTGGAGTAGGAGGGAAGAAAAGACCACTACAAACTGATAAAGAAGCAAATAAAATTTATTTATCAAAATCAATCTCCGAGCACGTCAATAATAATGCAACATTGTCTTCGACATTAGCAACAACAGTTTTAGAAGCACCTTTACAGGATATTACAAATCGCATTTCATCATCGTCACCATTAATACGTCACGATTATTCATCAACTCGAAGTATTATACTGGTACTGTCACAACAAAAAGCAGCTCATCCAGGCATCAACACAACATCATTCGCACCAACAACAAATCGCAACATTTTTCAAACATCTCAATTTCCTATATTATATACTATCGTTCATAAAATAAAGACAATAAATATTTTTATACAGTGCAATGAAAGTTTCTTTTACATTAAAAAAATCATTGTTTTATACAATCTCGCGATAAATATTTTTGTATAGTGCACTGAAAGTTTCTTTTATATCAAAGAAACTGTTGTTTTATATACTCTCGAAATAAATACTTTTATACACGGCGATGAAAATTTTTTTTCAATTATATTGTTATATAGTGCGATGGAAGCTTTTCTCTATATTTAGAATATTACGAATTGCTCTTTCTATTTGTATAACTAATTCACACTAAAAAAAAACATTTCCTAGTCTTCAACGATCAAGATCCAATATTCAGCCTTTCAATGTAGGTATTGCTAACTGCCGCAATTCTATTAAAATGTTAAGAATATTCATCATTCTACGATATTAAAAGTAGTCACACACTGAATCCAAAGTTACTTACACACCACACGCCAATAATGCTGTTAAATAGTGTTCGTCAGTGACAGTGAATTCAACAGTAGAACAGCTCTCGAACTGCTTTCCATTGACGAACAAATGTTCGTTAATAGTGTTCGTCACTGATAATAAATCCATTCGTTAATGGTGTTCTACTGTTGAATTCACTCTCATTGACGAACACCATAAACAAACACATATTCGTAAATGGTAATCAGATAAATTGCATATAGTGCAAACCAATCAATCAGTTTTGATTAGAGCTAATCTTAACCGACTGGGCGGTAACACCAAAAAGATAAAAGAGTGAATTCAGTTTCTTTATTCTTTTCATCTTTTTTCAAAGTTAAACTGAAAAGTCCAGTCACAAATGTAAAAAAATCCACCTCTCTTATGTCTTCAGTCCCAGTCCACTCCAAGCCTCTTACGCTTCCAGTCACAGTCCAGTCCGAGTCTCTTACGCCTTAAGTCCCAGCCCAGTCACAGTCCGTGTGAAAAAGTCTATCAGTCCGGACTTGGACTTGCCCATCTCTGGTTGAATTCATTATCACTGACGACCACCATTAGCGAACACATCTTCGTCAATGGGAACACAGTCGGGTGCTAACCTACTCTTGAATTCACTCTAAGTGACGAACACCATCAACGAATACATGTTCGTCAATGGGAACAAATTCGATAGCTATCCTACTGTCTTCAATCTCACTGACGAACACCACTGATGAACACACGTTCGTCAATGGAAATAAATTTCAGAGCTATTCTACTGTTGAATTCACTCTCAGTGACGAACGCCATCAACGAACACATCTTGGTCAATCGGAATAAATTCCGGAGCTATCCCAGTGTTGAATTCACTCTCACTGACGAAAACCATTAACAAACATATGTTGGACAATGAAAATAAATGCCATAGCTAACCTGCTGTTGAATTCACTATCACTGAGGAACACCATTAACGAACACGTCTTCGTCAATGGGAAGAAATTCGGGTGTATTTATTATCAGCCATTTATAATATACATTTATAATATTTTCAACAGGTATCCAACTCTTGAATTCACTCTCACTGACGAACACCATTAACGAACACATCTTCGTCAATGGGAAGAAATTGCATAGCTATCCTACCGTTGAATTGATGTGTTCGTTACTGAGATTGAATTTAACAGTAGGATACCTCTCGAATATATTCCCATTGTCGAACAAGTGTTCCTTAATGGTGTTCGCCAGTCGGAGTGAACTCCGAAAAGCCAACATAACACTTTCCAAAGATACTCGGGTAAAAATGCGCAAAAGAAATACGGCTTTTGATCGCTGGAAGTCTGTCAAAATAGCTGCAAATTATACTCTTTTTAAAATTTTAAGAAGTGAGGTGGTTAAGTCGGTTAAGAAAGATAAGAAAAATCATTTTAAGAATATTGTTTCTCTTTTCAAAGATCCAACACGTTTTTGGCAATCTGTCAATAAGTTTCGTAATGGAAAATTACCCATTCGTCAATTTGTTACGGATAAAACTAGTCATGCCTCTTCATCTTTAAAAGGGACTTGTGAAATGTTCAACAACCATTTTAATTCTTGCTACTCGTCAGTTCAAAATACTCTCCCTGTCTCTGGAACAGCACCCAACTTAGCGGATCCATTAATTTCTGATATACTCGTTGACCTAACCGAGGTGGTGAAAGCTGTAGGGGCTATGAAAAATATTGCCAGCGTTGGAGTTGATGGTTTCTCACTGAAGTTTATACAGTTATACCTACCAGTTCTCGGAAATCAATTAGTACATATATTTAGGCTTTCAATCTCAACAGGAATTTTTCCTGTTCAGTGAAAAGTAGCTAGTATAACACCAATATATAAAAAAGGAGATTCATTGTTAATCGAAAATTATCGTCCAATTTCACTTCTATGCGTTGTAAGTAAGATCCTTCAGAAGATTATTCATAAACAGCTGTTGTCTTTTCTTCTCGACAATAGGTTGTTAAGTGCTATCCAGTTTGGGTTTAGACCGTCTTCTTCAACGTTAGATGCTTTACTAAGAGCTACTCACTTTGTTTTTAGCAGCTTAAATAAGGCAAGTCCTGAAAAAGAGCATTGCATAGGGTTAAGCTTTGATCTGTCAAAAGCGTTCGATCTAGGGGTGGGCTGAGCCCACCCGAAAGGAATTTAAGCCCACCCTGAAAATTTTTCAATGTATTCGAAATGAGCTTAATGTTTTTTCTGCTGTTCCCAAAATGGGTGGGCTAAGCCCACCCCAGAGCAAAATCCTGGCGCCGCCACTAGTTCGATCGTGTATCGACTGACCTTCTACTAAATAAGTTAAAACTACTTGGTATCGATGGGAGTCTTCTTAACTGGTTTACATCTTATCTTACAGATAAATAGCGCTCTGGCCAGCCATCTCTGCTACCAGAGTGAAATTCCGTAACGACTTTTTTGCATTTTGTTTTTCTTGTAATGTTTGAGTAACGAGACGCCTAGAGATCTAGAATATCACAGATTAAAGAGAAAAGTGTGCTAAAGATTCTGA